ACACGAGGCTGACTTCATACAGGAGCTTCTTGGGAAGAATGAAAAGAAACGTAGTATTATCTCATAACTTCACTTTCGGCTATATAGATGATGTCCTCTCACTAAATAATTCAAAGTCTGGCGACTTTGTTGAACGCATCTATCACATCAAAATTGAAATTAAGGATACAACAGATACAGCAAAGTCGGCATCATATCTTGACAATGAGGGTCGATAGAGAACAAAACTTACGACAAAAGAGATGATTTTGGCTTCCCAATTACTAGTATGAACTTTCCGTTTCTATGTAGCAACATTTCCAGGGCTTGCATTTCCTACCTTGACAGAGAGCTGCTATTCACAATGAAGCTATTAAATCAGGAGTTCCAAGTGGTGAAGTTAAATTGTTTCTTTGAAAATTTTACGGACGCCACCATGAGATGGTTGACCGTTATAGCAATCAATATCCGTTTCACAGATGACGAAGGGCATGTTCCAATTGTCGGAAACACTATCCCGTCCTCTTTTCCCCGAATGTGACCTTCCGACCTTCCGAATTAAAGACTTATGACTGGGCTTGTACTTATATGCGCAACATGTGGAAAACACGAGATCACTCTTAGGTCTTGTTTCAAAAGGTTTCTTGTTGCTTTTGCTTTAGTTTTTTGTATTGTTCTTTGTGCTGATGTTTATACCTGGGAACAGTATATCTAACATATATATATGTTCCTGTTTATACCGACAACAGTTTTATCTATCCTTTGTCATGAAATTTATAAGTTTCACATTTGGTCGTTTCAGGGGGAGAAAATTTACATGACTGATGGTTTATGGTATTCGAAAAACGAACTTAATACGAAAATCTAATAATGAACCATGGAAATGAGGTCAGTCAGATGTATCATTCAAACATTCCATACTATACGCGATAGGTCAACTATATTTGGTATATAAAACCAAATATAGTTGACCTATTGCTTATAGTATCTGATAAACAAACCTAGCCATGAAAACTAAACATTGACATGAAAAGAAAGTCAGGGTCAGACAGAATGTACACCTTACAATCATTCCATACACAAACAAGAGGCTTTCACAGTGACAGCAAACCGAATTTTCCTGCAGAGGTCGAACCCAGTTGAGCAAGTATGGACACAACATATAAGCTTAAAACAGCTCTGAATTTGGATTGGGATTGAATATTTGACACAGCATAGGTTTGTGACACAAAATGAATGTAGTTAAAGAACTGAAAATTTGAAATTGGACATTTACCTATTATGGTCCGATATCCAAAATCTAAGTACATTGTTAGAATCGGCATATCAAAGAACCCCAAGAATTCAATTTTTGATGAAATACTTATTCATTAAATAATTTCTGTTCAAAGGACAATAACTCAAACTCAGCAAAAGACCAAATGACATAACGCTAAAATTGTGAAAATTAAACTTGACCTTCATTTAGTCACAAGAAACAACATATCTAAATTTGAAAAGATTTCGTCAATGCTTTTTCATGTAAATGAATAGACACTGTTTGGCAGCCGCCCGCCGTTCATCCCCAAATCAATAACCAATTTTTCTTTCAAATATCCGGTTAAAAATATGACCTATTGCTAATAGTATTTGAAAAACAGATGACAATGAAAACTTAATCTAATCCAATGAATCATGAAAATGAGATCAAGGACAATGCACATATGACAGTCGGAAACTTTTAAACTTAAGGCATCTGCATACAAAGTATGATGCATCCAAGTCTTCTACTGTATGATATATATAGCTTTCATAAAATTATTTAGGCCATGGCCAAAATTTAATTACCTATGTCTCGCATTCTCCAACAAAAATTAGATTCCAGACACCCTAAGACTATTCACACAAACATTGGTTGAAATAGGTTCAGTAGTTTCAGAGATGTTTGAAAAATTAATAGGACGGAGGAAGTCAAATATCATTTAAGGTCAATAACTTTATCCATGGTTTCAGTCATATTGGCCTTTTAGTAGAAACTGTATTGCTGAAATTTTTGCTGTTTACAATTTCTCCCTACAAATATATCTATAATACATATTTCCAAATAAAAGGCAAATAGCACTTAAAATTTCTTGAAGTGAAAAAATGTCATTCAAGCCAAATAACTCTCCATATATTTATTTAGTTTTTATATTTAGACGTATGTTGACTTACCAGAAGGAAAACTATATACTAGATATTATTTCCCCCAAATTGGTTTAGTGCATGTGTCACACATTAGAAAATTTAACAAGTAGATTCAATTCAAATAAATGTGGATAGTGCATGTGTCACACATTAGAAAATTTAACAAGTAGATTCAATTCAAATAAATGTGGATAGTGTCCACATGTGGACACAGATGATGCCCCAGCTTGCATATCATATAGTTATAAAGGGACATCACTGAAGAACGATAAAAGTGACGCTAGCCAAATTTGAACTTGATCTCGAGTTTTGTGGTAATAAGCATTGTGTGTAAGTCTCATAACATTTGGTTGAGGCTAACTTAAGTAGAGAACAGAAACTAAAAATTCAGCAATTTTTCTATTTGAAAACACGCATAACTTGTAGAACGGTTGTGTACAAGTTTTATAACATTTGGTTGAGACAAACTAAAGTTAGAGAACGGAAACGATAAATTCTGCAATTTTTGTTTATAAAGGGACATAACTCAAGAATGGTAAAAGTGTCGCCACCAAATTTCGTACTTAATCTGTATTATGTAGTAATAAGCAGTGTACAAGTTTCATAAAATTTGGTTGAGGCAAACAAATGTTAGAAAACTTTGTACTTGATCTTAAGTTTCGAGGTAATGAATATTGTGTATAGGTTTCATGATGTTTGGTTGGGGCAAACTTAAGTTACAGAATGGAAACTAAAAATTTTGCAATCTTTCGATTTATAGAGGGGCATAACTCTTGTTGTACTGTTAAACCACTGTCACAGGTTAGAGGGAGGGTTGGGATCCCTCTAACATGTTTAACTCTGCCACATATGTATGTGCCTGTCCCAAGTCAGCAGCCTGTAATTCAGTGGTTGTCGTTTGTTTATGTGTTACATATTTGTTTTTCGTTCATTTTTTGTACATAAATTAGGCCGTTAGTTTTCTCGTTTGAATTGTTTTACATTGTCATTTTGGGGCTTTGCTCATTGTTGAAGGCCATACTGTAACCTATAGTTGTTAATTTCTGTGTCATTTTGTCTCTTGTGGAGAGTTATCTCATTGGCAATCATACCACATCTTCTTTTTTATAATAACTCAATAATGGTTAAAGTGACACTATCCAAATTCAACTTGATCTGTGTTTTATCAGTGGAAGTCAAAATTAAACATTGCATTGTTTAAAGCATTGATTGTAGTTGATTCAACTATAATCATGGACAAAGGAAGATAACTCCAATTTAAAAAAAATCTTGATACTGTAAATTCTGAAATTATTGCGATGTTTTTATTATTGCGAAAAATGTGACAGGGTTATAATCGCAATAATTTAAACTCGCATTTTGAAATTTTTTATATGAATTAAACAGGATTTTTCTCAATATCGCAAAAATTTAAATCGCATTTTAGTCTAAAATGACAAAATCGCAATAATAAATGCACGCAATAATTTCTGAATTTACAGTATTCAAAAGAAAATAAAAATTTTGTAATTTTTCCATTTAACAGGGGATAACTCTAGAACGGTTAAAGTGACACCACCAAAATTCAAACTTCATCTGTTTTGTGGTAATAAGCATTGTGTATAAGTGTCATAACATTTAGTTGAGGGAAACTTGTTAGAGAACGGAAACTAAAAATTTTGCAATTTTTCCATTTATAAAGGGGCATAACTCTAGAACAGTTATAGTGATGCCACCAAAATTCAAACCTGATCTGTGTTTTGTGGTAATAAGCATTGTGTATAAACATTTGGTTGAGGCAAACTTAAGTTAGAGAACAGAAACCAATTTTGGGATGTACATACGTACAGACGGACAAGGGTAAAACTTAATGCCCCCACCGCTACGTCGGGGCAAAAAATGAATTCTTAGAAGGGATCTATTCCACAAGGATAAGGGCAACCTTCCCACATCTCCACTTCGCTCTTTGGTTAAATTGACATGGAATCTCTTAAGATAGGGGTGAACCTCTGCCCTATTTAGTTTTTCAGGTACATGGTCTAATCTGCATTGCCAGAGGACTATAGTTTTGCATTCAGTATTTCAATCTATCCATCAGTCCTTTCTGGTTTATTTTTTAATTTTGATCAAGTGTTCAGAGGTTTGGGGAAATAGCGTAAGATACATAGAACCCCGTCAATTTTTTTCAAAAGGTTCATGATTTTTGCCCTAACCTGAAAACACAAGAGTTTATCATCCCATCAGTCATTCCTACTTCTCTTTGTTTTCTTTTTTAATTCAGACTGGAGATCAGAGGTGAAAAAGGGGTTGGAATTTTTTGGGGGAACCACTGCGCTTTTGTTTTAAGTTAGATGGATTTGCTTCTTAAGTTCCCCAACCTGCAATGCCAATGGAGACTTTAGGTTGCACTGTCAGTTCATCACACTTTAGTTTCACTAATCAAACTAATTTCAACCAGATCTCTACTAGCATTTTGAGCTAAACCTAATGCTGGAGGAGATGAAGACACCTGGAAAACTTAAGAATTTGCGTTACCTTTATTATCAAAAGGGAATACAATAGCACATGTTATGCCAATGAGACAACATTCCACCAGAAACCAAATTGCATAGATGTCAGGATGCCTGTGGTAAGCTTATTAACATGTTGCAAGAAATATTCTAAAATCATAAGATGCCAAAATATATCTTTTCTTTGAAGATGTAACAGAGAGTCAGGTCATTTTTACTGACCTTTCCCCAAAGCCAATGATCATGCAATTTGGCAAGTAATGGTATAAAACACCTATAATTTATAATACTTTCACTGGTGCAAGGCCTTAAACTATCAAACATATATATATATATATATATATATATATTAAGCAAAGGACAACATTCTCTTCAGCCATAATTTATTAATAATGTCTATGGATCTCTCAACCCATTTTCTGTGCCAGTTCTTTAGCTCTAATCTTCTCCTGCTTGGTGATACGAGCCTGTGACTTGTTACCCATGACACCACCACCCCAGTGTTTTCGTATCTGAAAATACAAAATATACATATTTCATATTTACCCACATATAAAGGCTAAAAATTCAAATATTTGTAATCCTTAATATTTTTCTGCTTCACATGAGTGATGACAAGTTTATGAAAAAAGTGTCAATTACATCCCACGTAATGAATTTTTCATCTTGAAAGTAGGTTGTTTTTTTAAAGGTTTTATTGTACTTTCTTTTCCCAATCCAAGATGGAGGTAAAAACAGACTTCTATTCAGTATCAATATGACATGTACAGATAGAAAGGAAATTAATTACATGTATAAAATTCATTGATTACACAGATACTTCATATATTTTCAATATGGACTACTACTCAGACACATCCAAGGAATAGTAAAATCATGGTTACATCATTTCCTGTTAAAAGTATCCATCATTGTAGTCTGTCATGAAGTCCAGGCTTTTTTGAGGTTTTTTTTTTTTTAAAGAAAACACCTTCAAAATCAAAATCAAAATTAAGAAAAATCTTTTGATATTATTCAGAGCCCTTCAACTAGACCAGACGTATCTGATAAACAGATTGAAGACGAATCAAGCTAATTTTTTGGATACAAATAGCATAATTGGCACTTCCAAATTCTCAAAAAAGTGGCAGCAAAATGATTGATTTTTGGTTGCTTAACGTCCAGTGGCAAATATTTCATGCATGCCCAGGACGATGGGGCAGCAAGAATCTGTAAATGTAAATAAAAATAATAATTCCAATTTAGAGTTCATTTATCAAAACGTTGATTATGAAATATAGTTAAGGACTTAATATTACATGTTATATTAGACCCTAAATGTACATGAGACTATGACATTGCAAAATAAAATTAAATGTTTCTGTAAAAAGAAAAATAAGTTGGCGAAAAAAAAAACCCATTATTTTGGCAAATAAAGAAAATTGACCCAGCAGAAACTCTGTGGCTGATAAATATCTTACAAAATTAATTACATGTAGTTCAAATCATTGATTAGACAGATTTCAAGAAACTATATTATTATAGACATCTACTCAGACACATCCAAGGAATAGTAAAATCATGGTTACATCATTCCTGTTATAAGTATCCATCATTGTAGTCGAGTCACTCTTCCTGAAGTTTCAAGTCTTCGATTCTTAATTCAAATAATTTTACAGTTATTACTTTATGAAAGATTGATTATAAAAAGGGGTCAAAGCCTCAAATGTCTGTGTTGCAATATTTGTGACTAAACTTAGCTGAAAAATTACCAAGGTCCAAAGACTGGCAAATGAAAAAAGTTTCAGGGATTTGGGTTGAAAACTGTAGGAGTTAATTACACAAATTAGATACCTACTTTTCCCCAAGCACCCACCCATCGGCTGTCTCTAATTGTTTATTTGACTGTTTGCATACAAATTTTGATCAGTAATCACATTTGATTTAAGTTTGAAATCTCAACCATCACAAGTGGATGCATACCGTATTGAACGGGGTGTTGTGCTATATTTCAATCATTGATGTTGCATTTTATACAAAAATAAAATACGCTTTTTGGAAGGCTTATCCAATCAAAATTACAGAAACGCATGACACTTTTGAATTTTTTTATCTATCATCAATTTACACTTTTCAGACACAGCCAAGGAAGTATGAATCATGATTTATCATATTCCATTAAAACTTTATACATCACAAAAGTGTAAACATCGTTCAATTATATCTATCCAAACTGAATTTCTTTTACAGGAACTTGGAATGGTTATAACAAATTCTTTAGACAATATACGATAAAGTCTAACAACCATAATAACTGTTCAGGCCATAGATTAACGTCCTATATATGATATGCTATAATTTTCAGGTAAAATTTAACTGCAATCTATCAAACTATCACAAATATTTACACATTGTCACTAAAAAAGGGCAAAGCTAAAACCTGACCAATCTATCAAACTATCACAAATATTTACACATTGTCACTAAAAAAGCGCAAAGCTAAAACCTGACAGACAACTTTCCATGACATGTTCTAATGGTTTACCATCTGATAGGAAGATGATAATGTCTCATGTGGATGCCAAACCTAGGTTAAAATAAAGAGTTCTGACCATTCTGGACCTAGACATTTTTTTCTGGTAAATCCCTAAAGAAATTTACTTCTTTGATTTTGTTCCTATGCACTCGTTTGTTAAAGACTGAATATACCATTCTTGTAGAAAACCTCCTTTTCTTCATTCAAGAATTCAAAAATATCCCTTTTATATGGTCACCTTTTTTTGGTTTAGGGTACAGTATCCTATCACATTAACCCTATATTATCATGTTAACACTAATCAGACACAGCCAAGGAAGTATGAATCATGTTTGATCATTTTCCATTTATCATTATGCATCATATAAGTGTAAACAATCAATAAAATCTATACATATGTAAACTTGACATTTAATAAACATTTATGATCAGAAATTAGGTAGTTTTTTTAACCATGGACTTAATTGGTATATACTATACTACCTTTGAAAAAGTGAGAAGATATCAAAGGGCAATCAAATATCATCAGTCAAATAAGTCAACAAAGCACTACACAGAAAAGTAAAGATTGATAAAAACAAGTCAATAAAATTAATCAACAAATGACATGTTATCAAGGCTTTCCATTTTGGTTTAGAATTTTCATTGTTTCATTATTTCTCTGGATTGGTCAAAGTAAAAAATCAAAGTTGACATGAGTCTGCAATCAATTTCACATAAAATCTAAAGAGAAAAAAATACTCATTAGTCAATTTAAATTACATTTCAGTATAACTTCAGATCAATTTTTGTTGGAATATTTTTTGTGAATGGCGTCCCATGCCTGTAATCCATAATAAATAAAATGCTCCGCAGGGCGCAGCTTGATACGACCGCAGAGGTCGAACCCTGAACAGTTGGGGGAAGTATGGACACAACATTCAAGCTTGATACAGCTTTGGATTTGGATTGTGATTAAATATTTGACACAGCATAGGTTTCTAACACAGATTGAATGTGGTCTAAGAACTTAAAAATTTTAAATTGGACATTCACCTATTATGGTCCAATATCCAAAATCTAAATACATGGTTAGATTCAGCATATCAAAGAACCCCAAGAATTCAATTTTTGATGAAATCAAACAAAGTTTAATTTTGGACCCTTTTGACCTCAATGTGGACAAAGTTGATAACGGGGCCCAAAAATCAAAAATCTAAATACATGGTTAGACTCAGCATATCAAAGAACCCCATATATTCAATTTTTGTTGAAATCAAACAAAGTTTAATTTTGGACCCCGATTTGGACCAACTTGAAAACTGGGCCCATAATCAAAAATCTAAATACATGTTTGGATTCAGCATATCAAAGAACCCTAAGAATTCAATTTTTGTTAAAATCAAACTAAGTTTAATTTTGGACCCTTTGGACCTTAATGTAGACCAATTTGAAAACGGAACCAAAATTTAAGAATCTAAATACACGGTTAGATTCGGCATATCAAAGAACCCCAATAATTCAATTTTTGATGAAATCAAACAAAGTTTAATTTTGGACCCTTTTGACCTCAATGTGGACAAAGTTGATAACGGGGCCCAAAAATCAAAAATCTAAATACATGGTTAGATTCAGCATATCAAAGAACCCCATATATTCAATTTTTGTTGAAATCAAACAAAGTTTAATTTTGGATCCCGATTTGGACCAACTTGAAAACTGGGCCCATAATCAAAAATCTAAATACATGTTTAGATTCAGCATATCAAAGAACCCTAAGAATTCAATTTTTGTTAAAATCAAACTAAGTTTAATTTTGGACCCTTTGGACCTTAATGTAGACCAATTTGAAAACGGAACCAAAAATTAAGAATCTAAATACACGGTTAGATTCGGCATATCAAAGAACCCCAATAATTCAATTTTTGATGAAATCAAACAAAGTTTAATTTTGGACCCTTTTGACCTCAATGTGGACAAAGTTGATAACGGGGCCCAAAAATCAAAAATCTAAATACATGGTTAGATTCAGCATATCAAAGAACCCCATATATTCAATTTTTGTTGAAATCAAACAAAGTTTAATTTTGGACCCCGATTTGGACCAACTTGAAAACTGGGCCCATAATCAAAAATCTAAATACATGTTTAGATTCAGCATATCAAAGAACCCTAAGAATTCAATTTTTGTTAAAATCAAACTAAGTTTAATTTTGGACCCTTTGGACCTTAATGTAGACCAATTTGAAAACGGAACCAAAATTTAAGAATCTAAATACACAGTTAGATTCGGCATATCAAAGAACCCCAATAATTAAATTTTTGATGAAATCAAACAAAGTTTAATTTTGGACCCTTTGGACCTCAATGTGGACCAATTTAAAAACGGGGCCCAAAATCCAAAAACTAAATACACGGTTAGATTCAGCATATTAAAGAACCCCATGAAATCAAGAATAAAACCCCATTGAAATTGGTCAAGAAATAAGCAATTTATAGGAAGTATCTTCTTTTGCACAATCCTGTGCTATTAAATATTTCTTGCTATTGCGCAATACTGTACAATTGACAATTTCTTGCTATTGCGCAATATTGTGCTATTGGATATTTCTTGCTATTGCGCAATACTGTGCAATTGAAGATTTCTTGCTATTGCGCAATACTGTGCAATTGAAGATTTCTTGCTATTGTGCAATACTGTGCAATTGAAAATTTCTTGCTATTGCACAATACTTATTATATAATAATTTACACATCCTGTTTGGTGTGTATCTCCTACCATATCATTATTATTTGATTTTAAATATAAATCAGAAATAACCAACTTAAAATGGAAAATTTTAAAAGAAACAAAAAAGGAAAAAAAGAAAAAAAGGAAAAAAAAAATAAATCCCCCCCCAAAATTTTTTGAACCCCCATTATGATTCATCACCCCCAAACTCAATACCAGCCTTCCCTTTGTGGTATGGTACCTTGCAGTACAATTTCAGAGAGATCCATACACTTGAACACAAGTAATTGTCTGGAAACTAGAAAAAAATGTGTTTTTTGGCCCCTTTTTGGCCCCAAATTCCTAAACGTTTAGGGCAATTACCCCCAATCTCAAACCCAGCTTTCCCTTTGTGATATGGAACCTTGTAGTACAATTTCAGAAAGATCCATACACTTACACACAAGTTATTGTCATGAAACTAGAAAAATGCTTGTTTTTTGCCCCTTTTTTGGCCCCTAATTCCTAAAATTTGGAGGCAATTACCCCCAAAATCAATCCCAGCATTCCTTTAGTGATATGGAACCTTGTGGTACAATGTCAGAGAGATCCATACACTAACACACAAGTTATGTCTGGAAGTTACAAAAATGCTTATTTTTGGCTCCTAATTCCTTTACTGTTATTACCATAACCCCCAAAATCAATCCCAACCTTCCTTTTGTGGTATTGAACCTTGTGGTAAAATTTCATAAAGATCCATTCACTTAAACTAAAGTTAGAGTGCGAAAACCAAGTGTCTTCGGACGACGACGACGACGACGACGCCAACATCATACCAATATACGACCACAAAAATTTTTTTGCGGTCGTATAAAAATGAGAGTTAAAATCAGGGTTTACAAAAGCCTGGGTTTTAAGAGTATGGCCCATCCTGGTTATATTTTTAAAACCCTGATTGAAATAAGTCTTGTCCATCATCAGTTTACACTTCTCAGACACAGCCAAGGAAGTATGAATCATATTTTATCATATTCCATTAAAACTTTATACATCACAAAAGTGTAAACATCGTTCAAATCAATTACATCTATCCAAACTTATTTTTTATAAGACCTTAGAATGGTTATAACAAACTCTTTAGACAATATATGATAAAAGTCCAACAAAAAATTATTTTTTTCAAATACCTAAAACCCTTTTTTTATTCAATATTTTATGTTGCTCTGAAGCATATGTAGCTTATGTAAAGACTAAACACATCTGTTGTTTACGTTTGACACCAGGAGTTCATGTATGGCGTCCGGATCTTCAGATCCCAGAAGACTTTTTTAAATTTCTAACAATTTTTAGCCAAAATAATAATAAAAGTGGAACATATTGTTTAAGTTGCATTAGAAGGGAGATAACTTTAATGCATTTAAAGATTGACCTACTGCCGCAAATAATCATTCACCCTAGCTCCACACACCGTCACTAGGTTACCTCAATTGTGACAGGAAAATCCAAGTTTTATGTAGGCCAAGCTTAAAATACATAAGTCTTGATCAAAATAATGTCCAAGGTCTTCTAGGCTATACACAACTAATGGTTTATCAAAATGAATATGCATATTTCAGGAAAAATCAAAATCAAGACGTTTGACCATTCAAAAAACTTTTTTCTTACCTCTTCAGCTCTGTCATTGAAATTTGTCTTTACAGCTTCTACACACTTATTCAATTGTGATTTGTCCTCTCTGTAAAACATTTTACAATTGTTTTGAAAATAATTATAGAATCTCTCATATTGTTCAATAGTTAAATGCATTTTTAAAGTCATCAGTGGCGGATCCAGAATTTTTCATAAGTGGGGCCCACTGACTGCCTAAGAGGGAGGCCACTCCAGTCATGCTTCAGTGATTCCCTATATAATGAACCAATTTTTTCCCCAAAAAAGGGGGGGCCCAGGCCCCCTGAAAAACCCTCTAAATCCGCCTCTGGTCATCAATCTTTTAACAAATAATATGTAATTAATGCTAGCTCAGTTTTAAAAAGCTCGGATTTTAATCTTCATGACTTCTGTCAGGTGAAGAAATTCTTACATCATTGCTAACAGTAAAAATTCACAATTTATTCAGCATGTTAAAAACAGACCTATATTTTTCAGAAAGGTAAAGATAGAGCAAAACAGAACATCAACAAAAACAATCAACAATTGGTGGGTTAGACTTTTTAATTTTGGTTTTAAAGAGTCTCTGTTTTCTTACTACTCTGATTAAGTCAATTAAAGTAAAACTCTGAAGGTTGGTCAGTCTGGCCCTTATTCCAAAATCATATGGAAACATTCCCCAGACTTTTAAAAAGTCTTTCATTTAAATAATGTCAAAACATGAAAAACATTTTTACAATTGTTTTGAAAATAAATTTAAGAATCTTATGTTGGAAAATTATAATTGTAACTGCAATTATGAAATGGTCAGTTTTTTAATGTTATTATTGCTAGCTCAGTTTTAAAAAGCTCGGATTTAATCTTCATGACTTCTATCAGGTGAAGAAATTCTTACATCATTGCTAACAATAAAATAAATCATTTATGCAGCAGGATAAAGACAGATCAAATTATAAGGTTTTTTTTTCCATTCTCTCTGACCAACTATTTCAAAACCATACCATTAGAGGAAAGGTCATGGAACTGCAAAGAATTCTTAAATCCTTGCAAGTTTCCTTGGAATAAAATGTGGCATAATTCAAAGATTAACAATTATTGTACATCAATTGATACATGCGAAAACTTGGGGAAAATTTGATTTGTTTTTTGGTTTTTAACATCACTGTCAGGGACCGTGACTACCCAGAGAGAAAAACCAACCTTTGGCAGGAAATTGGACATGCCAGCTGCAGAGCTATATATCCGTTTAAGGCACCATCAGAAGTCGGCATCCTTTCTGTTAGTATTTTGGGGTAATTGTCAGTAGTGTCACTGGTGGGGGAATTGGGCATGTCCTCACCACCCCCCGGAAAAAATTTTGAAGACGATAAACAGTAAATGCACAATGTATATGATTCCTTGTACTTCTGCATGTTTAGGTCTTTCTTTATAGCTTGTGTATCATCTTTTCCGACGTGTTTCAAGGCAATAAATTCATTTCTATAGTCCTTATCTGCTTATCTGAGAAGATATATGATGCTGGCTCAGTTTTAAAAAGCTCGGTTTTGTTTCTTCATGAAAGTGTCAGGTGAAGAAATTCTCACATCATTGCCAGCAAGTGTTTTCCTAATTATTTCTGTTATCAAAACCTTAAAACTCATTACAATTTATTTGCAAATAAAAACACGGGTAAAGAAGAAAATATTGGCTGCCGTGTCAAGAGTTCTTGGAAAGTGGTGATCCAAAGGTTTTGTTTGACCACCAAATTTTTGCAAAGGGCTGATCCAATTTTGGTATTTTGCAATAGAAATAAAAGTGAAGATTTTTCTTCAAGGACCACAAGAGAAAAAAAGATTTTGAGAACTTGAATATAGAAGTACAGAGCTTGCTAGTTGCTAATAGATGCTTCAAAGACTTTCAAGCCATATTTTAATTTAGTAGGTATATGGTACATAGGCACTGAATTTAAGATTATACTTTTTAGTTTTTATGATGTAAAAGTTCAGATTATTTAACAGTATGCTACACATTGAATGTCACAACTGACAACCATAAAAATCTTGTTGTTTTGTGTTTGACATACTTGTTGAAGGTATCTTTCATATGAAATGCAAATAAAGGTTGTTAATTTTAACACACAAGCCACCTCTGTGATATATACTAATAGGTGAGGTTGTAACTGCTAACACAGATCTATGTTATACTTACAGGTTAACACTTGTAATAGCTACTAAATAATACTTACGGATTAACACTTGTAATAGCTACTATATAATACTTACGGGTTAACACTTGTAATAGCTAAAGATGTGCATGTTTTTCTGTGTACAACACGTCCAAGTCTTTGTTTGCCTTTAACAATACAGTATGGAACACCCATCTTTCTGCAGAGAGCTGGTAAAAAGATCACAATCTGAAAAGAGGAAAAACTGAACATGTCAACCTTCCAATGCAAGGAAATGTTTCTAAAATAATTATATTAATGAATATTGGATTCTTCAAAATTTGAGTGTCATTATCATTACAAAAATTCTGAATTCAGAGATCTAGGTGGTAGAATTTTTATCCATCAATTTACATCAGATAGCAAATATTTTTCTCATCATTATTCAGAATCATTAATGAAAATTTCTTAAGTTTTTTTCTTGAGCATAATTTCTTTTTCTTTATTCTACTACTGGTGAAAAGTTAGTTGCTTCCAAATGCCACATTTCTGATGTTCAAACTTTTCATTAATTATGGTTATTAGTTTTCAGATCCGTGTATGATTGGCAAGGGAGCCTAGTTGACTTGCAATATTTGTTGTGAAAATTACCAATTATAATTATGATTGACAGTACCAATTAATATGAATATTTCCTCAATTATCTTGTCAAGACCACAAAACTTGTGTATTAGATATTAACAGACTTAACTAGAGGCTCTAAAGAGCCTGTATCGCTCACCTTGGTCTATGTGCATATTCAACAAAGGACACTCTCCTACAGTGTTAATGAGAAAAGAATTCATGACAAAAATCTGTTTTGTTGATCTTATAATGCTGATCAATAATTCTGTCAAGTTTCTCTCTATCTTTTTTAATTTTTGTTCAAAACACAAAAGAGGATAAAAAAAATCTGCATTGAAGGGCAATCACTCTTATAAAGAGTGACAGTCTACTAACTATATCGGCAAAATTTGACTTGTTAGACCTTGCCTTGCTGATCATTTTTGTGATTAAGAGTTGTCTATTTATCAATTATAATTTTAATCATATAAGGCAAAACGAATGGTAAAAATGGTCAATAAAGGGCAATAAGGCGATAAGGAGTTGTCAGACGATTTCTTCCAGATACCTTAATAGTAGATCTTGTCTTGCTGATCATTTTTGCTTATTGAAGTTTCTATCTATCTATTATAATTTTTAAGATACAAGGCAAAAACACAAAAAATTGATAAAAATTGTCATCAAAGTACAACAACTCTAATAAGGAGTCGACTGATAATTTCGACAAGTAGACTTATTTGTAGAACTTGTCTTGCTGATCATTTTAGCAATTTAAAGTTTCTCTCTATCTATTATAGTTTTCAAGATAATAGGCAAAAATGAAAAAAAAGGTAAAATTTGTCATTTAATTATAAGGGCAACAACTCCTATAAGAAGTCATCTGACAGTTTTGACATATATGGACAATTGCTAGAGCTCAACATTCTGAACATTTCTGCTCCATCAGATTTTCTCTATTTATAACTGTTTTCAAAATAATAGACAAAACTTGCTTTTTACTCCCTATGTTCTATTTTTAGCCATGTCGGCCATCTTGGTTGGCAGTCAGTCATCGGACACATTTTTTAACTAGATACCCCAATGATGATTGTAGCCAAGTTTGGTTAAATTTGGCCCCGTAGTTTTAGAGGAGAAGATTTTTGTACAAGTTAACAGATGACAATGACTTGCGCCAAGTGATGAGAAAAGCTCACTTGGTCCGAAGAGCCAGGTGAGCTAAAAATATAAGGTTTTTTTTTATTAACAAACCCAGCTTTTAATCAAAATTCTGAATTCAGAGATCTAGGTGGTAGATTTGTTATGCATCAATTTGCATCAGATAGCAAATATGGTCCTCATCATTATCACAAAATTTTGATTGAAAATCTCCAAGCTAAGGCAGATGGAGAGATCTACCAACTATTTTAGTTGCAAATAATTGGTATAGATTTTTACTGAAATTTAATGCAGAAATTTATTTGTGAGATTTTTCATTTGAATGATTTTTTTATTTTACCTTCTGTTATTCAAATGAGGGTTTGCAAGACGAGAATTATATTAAATTGAACTCTAACTGACATCATGCCCCAAAATTTTTTAAGTGCGAGAGGATTCTACCGATATTAAAATCTTATTCCCCAATTTCACAAAAACATGTAGCACTGCATCAGTTATTTTAACACAATTGCAATTACTTTTCACATGTGGCAGGAATTGCATTTCAATTATTCATTATTTAATATCCACCACAAAAACAACAGTTCTGCATAAAACTAAAAATGTATGACAATGGAAATATGCTTTGAAATCACTATGGATTCTTCCTTTGTTAAGAAGTAAATATTTTATTTTCATAACAAATTTGTATAGCAAGGGGTTAACAAATTGTGCTTTTTTAAATAAGTTTTATATTTTAATCATCTGTTAGATAGCTCAGATTTAAAAAGCTCGATATGTTGATCCACATAGTGTATTCAGGTGAAGAAATTCAAACATCACTGCTATCGAACAGACTTTAATATTTCTAGTTGGTTTCTTTATTATTAATTTTTCTGCACAGTATCTCAAGATTCTGATTTAAGGCATACAAACCTCATGATGTTGCATTTGTGAATACAGTCATTCTAGCCACAAGGTAGAAAGATATCATATACCTTTGATTACACTTTCATATTTCAATTAGAGATGTTTTCTAAGTCATCTCAAAAGATTGGCCAGCAGTACATTTTTTTCTCTCTCTCCCTTATATTCAATGTTACCAATTGACTGATTTTTATAGTTTGTTCTTATGTTGCTATTACACCACTGTCCCAGGTTAGGGGAGGGTTGAACACTCACAAACATGTTTAACCCCGCCACATTCTTTATGTGCCTGTCCCAAGTCAGGAGTCTGTAGTTCAGTAGTTGTCGTTGGTTCATGTCTGTCATATCTGTTTTTCGTACACTGTTTTGTTATAAATTAGGCCTTAGTTTTCTCAATTGAATTGTTTCATATTTTTATGTCGGGCCTTTTATAGCCGACCATACGGTATGGGTTTTTCTCATTGTTGAAGGCCGTACGATTGCCTATAACTGCTAACATCCACTTCATTTGAACTTTGATGGATAGTTGTCTCATTGGCAATCATACCACATCTCCTTATTTTTATCTTATTAAACTTAATTTTTACATGTTTCTTGAATTTTTAACCAAGAAAAATATTTTTGTTTATCTATTTACTTCAAGTGGTTCAACATCATGAGCGATGATAACAAGCTGTGCTTTCTTCTGTTCTACCAGATTGGTCACGGTGTTGATACCAGATCTTACAACTGGTGGTCTTTTTGTTGGTTTGTCGTCTTTCCCATCAGCACGTTCTTCAGCACGAGCTTTCAGACGCTGTCTTTTCTGCTGTTTTGTTTCAGGCTTGTATTTTTCTAACAGCCTGAATACTTGGGTGGCTAAAATATTATAAACATGCATATATACATATACTCCATATATCCTTTTATTCTTGTTTGATTTTTGTTCAAATTTCACTGTGTTGTATTCAGTTAAAGCAACATACATGATATTTCAGTTTTCAAGTAAAGCACATAAAAATAAATGGGGAATGTGTCCATGGGACACAGATGATGCCCCTGCTTGTATATAACTTTATAAAGGGACATAACTCAATAACAGTAAAAGTGACACTTCCCAAATTTGTACTTGATCTTAGTTTTGTGGTAATAAGCATTGTGTATAAGTTTCATAACATTTGGATGAGGTGAACTAAAGTTGGAGAACGGAAACCAATTTCGGGATGTTCTGCTGTACAGGGGTAAAACTTAATGCCCCCGCCGTAAATGCCCCCTCTGCTCAACGGGGGCATAAATATTAATATATATTCATAATTCAAAATGGTAGTGAAGACATTTCCAGAACTCAGAGATCTAGGTGGTAGATTTTTTTGTATCATTTTGCTCTCAAATAGCAAATATTGTTTATCATCATGGTTCAAATGCTTCTTGTAAATGCCATTCTAACTTGTACATACGCTCAAACAACTTTTTTATGCTTTTATGACCGTTTGTAATTTCCAGTGCAATTTTGAGCAAAGTTACCATGAAAAATGATTCATGTGCAAACACACACCGACGGAAAACATAATGCCACATTCGCAAGGTGGGCACAAAAATTTAGTTATGTTTGATTTGGACAGGTCGAAAAAAACAAGTTACTGCCTATTTTATATTCAGACAATTTCTAATATAATGAGTTACCTGTCTGTCTATCAAGTGCTTGTCTAAACTGGTTGATTGGTGGTGGAACCTTCAATCTCCTCAGTAACACAGCCTTCTGTCGCTGGAGTCGTATATACTTAGGCCATCTGACAAAACGGCTGAGATCCCTCTTAGGCTGAATATCTTGGCCTGTAATTAAAATAGACATCCCCTTAGAAAATCAGAAGTTTTCAGTCCTTGCATCTTTATAGAGCATAGAAACAGCAAGTCAAAGTTATTTGAAGTATTTTAACACAAAAGTGTGCATACAACACTCACTTGTTCTTCTCATATATGTTATGATGGTATGATACTAAACCCCTAACGGGAAGGATTGTGCCTGATATTCATATGATGAAGACATAATCTTTCAATCAGTTTAATTGAAGTCTGGAGCTGGCATGACAGTTAACTGCTAGTAGTCTGTTATTATTTATGTATTATTGTCATTTTGTTAATTTTCTTTGGTTACATCTTCTGACATCAGACTCGGACTTCTCTTGAACTGAATTTTAATGTGCGTATTGTTATGCGTTTACTTTTCTACATTGGCTAGAGGTATAGGGGGAGGGTTGAGATCTCATAAACATGTTTAACCCAGCCGCATTTTTGCGCCTGTCCCAAGTCAGGAGCCTCTAGCCTTTGTTAGTCTTGTATTATTTTTAATTTTAGTTTCTTGTGTACAATTTTGAGTTTAGTATGGCGTTCATTATCACTGAACTAGTATATATATTTGTTTAGGGGCCAGCTGAAGGACGCCTCCGGGTGCAGGAATTTCTCACTGCATTGAAGACTTGTTGGTGACCTTCTGCTGTTGTCTGTTCTATGGTCGGGTTGTTGTCTCTTTGACACATTCCCCATTTCCATTCTCAATTTTATACAACACTACAGCAAATTAATGCCCTACAAATAGTTTTATGTTGAGAAATGTAATTCAGAATAAATTGGGAGTGTGTCCAGGAGACACAGATGATGCCCCTGCTTGCATACAACTTTATAAAGAGACTTAACTCAAGAACAGTAAAAGTGAGCAACCAAAATTCGTATTTGATCTGACCTTTGTGGTAATAAGCATTGTGAATAAGTTTCATTACATTTGGTTGAGGAGAACTAGTTAGAGAATGGAAGTGACAAAATTCAGCAATGTCACCATTTGTAAAGGGGCATAACTCTAGAAAGGTAAAAGTGACGTCACCCAAATTCAAACTTGATCAAACTTTTGTGGTAATAAGCATTGTGTTTAAGTTTCATAACATTTGGTTGAGGCAAACTAAAGTTGCAGAATGGAAACCAATTTTAGGACGTACAACAGAGTAAAACTTAATGCCACCTCCGCTACGACAGGGGCATAAAAATACTAATAATGTGACAATAAAAACTTCCATACTTTTGCCATTACTTTTTTTAGATAGCTTGTAGCTAGTACTGTGGTTCATTAAAATCAATTTGGTTTCAGTTTTGTTAATAGAAAATTAAATTTAATTCAATTTTTTTAGTACTAATACATGTATAGATATTCTTAAGCAACACATGAAATGCACCAGCTGTTTGCAGACATAATCTTTCTTCATTTTCAGGTTTTTACTGATATTTATATAAAAGTTAAAGAAGAAAAAATCAGTTTCTACATGAAATTAATTTAAAGCTCATCTTCCTCTTAAGCACCACTACCACCATTTTTCTGCTAAAATGATGAAAATTCTGTCATAGATTTTTAAAATTTTCAGAATATCTTGGGTAAAAATGTAAGTAAATAAATTGCTTCCCCGAGAGCAGCAGGATACGACCGCAGAGGTCCAACCCTGAACAGTTGGGGCAAAAATGAACACAATATTCACACTTGATACAGGTGTGAATTTGGATTGTAATTAAATATTTGACACATAATAGGTTTCTGACACAGAATAACTGTAGTCAAAGAACTTAGAATTGGTTATATGATTTGAATTTATATTCAATTTTTTACTTTTGTGCAATACACTATGCTGTGGCGAATTAACCCCCCCCCCCCCCAAAATTTTTTTTTTACAAAAAAAAAAAATTGAATTAATTCTTTTTAATTTCTGAAATCTGAAATGAGAAAAAATTGCCCCCCCCCCCCCCTCTCCCCCATTTTTTTTTCACCTCTCCCCTCCCCCTCTTTTTCCAAAAAAAATAATCCTTTCCCTATAAGATATGGTCATAATCTCAATTCAAATTTCCAATGGAGTTTGCAACCATAATTACCCATTTAAATACATCATAAAAGTCTTTAAATAGAAAATGACATACATAATCATGGCTTAAATTAATATTCCTTAATAGTAACTTCTAAAAATAAATTGACAGCTAATCATCTCAAGGCAACACAACATTTCTTTATACATATTTTAAAAGCTTGTAAGGGAGCTAATCAAAACGTTGTGTTTGGATTACCTCCCTTACACTGCTTTTAAATTGTCTTAAGTAATTGTCCATTAACCAGGAAACCCTGGTTTTCCCCCCTTTTTTGCCCCTTATTCCTAAACGGTTTGAGCCATAACCCCCCAAAGCAAATCTTAACCATCCCTTTGTGGTATGGAAACTTGTGGTATAATTTCAGAGAGATCCATACACCGTTCCACAAGTAATTGTCTGGAAACTAGAAAAATGCTTATTTGGGCCCCTTATTGGCCCCTAATTCCTAAACTGTTAGGACTATAACCCCCAAAAATCAATCCCAACCTTCCTTTTGTGGTTATAAACCTTGTGTTTTAATTTCATTAATTTACATTTACTAAAGTTATTGTCCGGAAACCAAATGTCTTCAGATGACGCTGACGATGTGATACCAATATACGACCACAAAATTTTTTGCGGTCGTATAAAAACAGAACACACAACTATCCTTTTATTATTTTTAATTTAAATATTCTCAAATTTTCTCACAACTTAAAAACATTTTCTATTGTTTTTAAAGGATTTTTTTTTTTTTCAAATAATGAGAATTCTTACCAATCCCATAATAAGTTTAAATAGGCAGTCAATTTTTTAACAAATAAATTTACATGGAGGTTTGTAACTTTTGTTGTTCAGTATATGTAAACTTACCAATGCCAAAGTTTCTTGGTCTTTTTTCTATCAGGGGGTTGACAGTCTTTTTGGTTTCTATGGCCTTCTTGATTACAGAAGGGGCAGATGCCACCTTCTTCTTTTTCCCCTTTTTTATGGGCTACAAAAGAAATTATGGTAAATTTGACATCTTCTTTTGTAAAGTATCCCATGTCCAGATATATATAAAGGGTAAACTTGAGAACTAAATAACTCTGTTTACAACAATGAAATATCTATCTTTAAAACTGAATTTGAATCTGGTGTCCTTCAACTACTGTCAGTCAGGGGTACTACTTGTACAAGTAATTTTTATTTACTTAAAGAAGTAAATATTAATATACTTATATAAGTAAATTTGTAGGATACTCAAACAAGTGTATTTTATTTACTTGTATAGGTAAAAAAAAAATGGGCTTAGTTATGTCCCTAAACATTCAGATTTTTTTACTTATACAAGTAAAAAAGTCATCCTATCTTCTTTTCTTGAATTCTTAGGACTTCTTTGCTCTAATAGAATTTTTGATTCTGTCCTGTGCAGATGTCTTTACTAATCATTTAAGTGTAATTTCATGGACAATGAAAATCTCATTTGTCTGTTATCTTCAGAACACTGCTCATTTACAAGCCCCCAAGGGATAATTTTTGAAGGCCTTGCGCAAATACATCTTTGCGCAATCAGTTTCTTTGTTGAATAAATGAGATGAAACATTGAACTCTAATAAAAAATTATGAGCTAACCTGAGAAAAATTGTTAAAGGCATGTTTTTACATCTCAAAACTTGAGAATTTTTGTGGGATTGTAAAAAAAAATTACTTATACAAGTAATTTCTGAGAAAATTAAGGGGAGATTATTCAAACATTATAATTAACTTATATAAGTATATTTTATTTACTTCTTCAAGTAAATAAAGATTACTTGTACAAGTAGTACCCCTGACCGACTGAATTCATTATTTTTCGTTGGATTACTTTTCATGGATTTCCTTGGTAGAGGTTAATTTTCGTGGATTTCTTTGGTAGAGGTTTATTTTCGTGGATTTCCTTAGTAGATTACTTTTCGTGGATTTCCTTGGTAGAGGTTAATTTTCGTGGATTTCTTTGGGCGAGGTTAATTTTTGTGGATTTCCTTGGTATAGGTTAATTTCGTGGATTTCCTTGGTAGAGGTTAACCACAAATTTAAATGTTTAACAAAATACAAATTATCTATAGGCTTGCTTACAGATCAAACCATGAATAAAGTATCATGAAAATAGAATTATTCCTTGATCCAAGATAATTTGGTATTTATAAATGAATCAAGGGTAATTTCCTTGCAAGACTGTTCAATTTTATCAAAAAGTAATTTTACAAATAAAACCAGTTGTTGATATTAAACGTGTTCTCCTGTGGATGTACGTCAATTTTTATTTGAGATGTTGACTATAATTGTCACCTCTGAAAATAAGGACGATAACTTTTATGAATGTTTTTTGAAAGTGCGAAGCTATAATCAGAGCCAAACTATCTTCAACAACACAATCCATAACCAGATGATAAAGTTCAAGGTCACCCTTCATACAAGAAAACCTTGCATTTAGGACTCACCATCACCTTATTACACAGAGCTGGTGTTGTCATTGTTACTTCATATGTTGTCAGAGAATGGATTAATGGAAAATTTCATCATGTTAAAAGCTTGACACTTTAACTGTAAATTCTTTTTGGAATAAAATAGTAAATGCATTTATAGGAAGAGCATAGTACATGTACAGGCCAGTCTGTCATTTTAGATCCTACAAAAATTCATGAACACCTGTCTGCATCATGCATGTACACTGTATCATGTGGACCTTTTAGTCAGTCAAGATGGTCACAGTGACTTTTGAAGTATTAATGCAAGTTAACTTCTAAACTCCTTAGAAATAAATAGAATTTCAAGCATGATCATTAAATTGTTAAGATACTTAAGATGCACAAGACTTTTTTTTTAAACTGGGAGACACTGCCTACATGCTTAGCTAGACAGTAAGCAAACATCAATCATGTTATTACATATTTCATTGTGACATATATGTATTAATGAATGGCTATAATCAGAGCCAAGCTCTCTTCATCAACACAATCCATAACTAGACGATAAAGTTCAAGGTCACCCTTCACACAAGAAAACCTTGCATTTAGGACTCACCATCACCTTATTACACAGAGCTGGTGTTGTCATTGTTACTTCATATGTTGTAAGAGAATGGATTAATGGAAAATTTCATCATCTTATAGCACAACATTGAACTTGAATATACTAGTAAAACCAATTTTCAGGTTATTTGATTCTCGCGTTCAAAACTTATTGAAAAGGAACCTCAGCTATTTGTTTTTGCTTGAGGTTATTTGTTAACCAACTTCGGTTGGTTTCCTAGTGCAGTGTTCTCCCCAGGGCCTTAAAGGACCGCGGGCCTGTGATGTATTATATTTCTCCATGGTGCTAAAATTTTTAGTTAAAAAAATCGAAAATCGGTAAAGTTTTAATCGACTTGTTAAATCTTTTCCGTGCGGTATAAAATTCCAGGTGAAATTTGACCAGTTCAATCCAGTTCAGATTGTTTACACCACGTGATCGATTTACCTTTATTAGGTTAACCTTTGTTGATTGGATTTAATCGATGTAATTAACACTTGTAAAATGATTCTTTGGTGTTTTAATTAAGAGATCATAACTTTATGATCGTAGATAACTATTTTATGGCTTGACTTCGGCAAATACTTTGTACACAAACCGTGTTGACCCGATAGTTGTACACACGATGGTACACATTTTGTACTTTATAAAGTTGGCTCATTACGTATAATTGACCATTATACACTTCTCAATACTTATGTAATAGTATTATATGTCTCTGATTAAACCATGGCCAAATTATCTATAATTTTGACATAGTTTATATTGCATGATATTCCGGTTTCAAACTTTCATAGTATCTGTCAACAAGTAATTCAAAGGCCTGAAAGGGGACGGATCACATGACCCAGTTAGTTCACATAGAATACCCAAGATTATTTACAATTAACTGCAAATCTATTCTATTTTATAAATAAAATGCATGACTGTACCTTCAAACTGGATATCTATATCCATATGATAATTAATGAATAACAGAAGTGATTTGCAAATTTTATCCATAAGCACATGTTAAATCTATTTATATCTACTTCCTGTCGTTTAGGCGGGAAAATAGGGAGACTTAGTTGTTGACATTGAATAGGGTTACTTATAGATCTATAGAACTAGGATAAATTTATAGATTTAGGAATTCTTTTTAAATGGATCATGACAAAAAAAGATTTAGATTTCAGTGCAGTATTAAGTCTGTATCTATGTTTGATTATCACTAAAAAAAGTTAATATTTACATGATTAAATCTAAGGCAAAATGTTTTGAAATTTATGAAAAATTTCTTTTTATTAAAATTTAAGATAGAAACTGGTTCAAATAATAATACAATATTTATTCTTGTCAATTTTATATCTCCTTATGACAGGAATCCTTTCACAATACAACATCTTTCATTCTAGAAATAAGAAAGTTTTTAAATTGAACATTTTTGTTCTCTTTTGAATGATATTTTATTCTTATTGATCATTGATTTTATAAAAGATTTGATAACTTTAAAATTTAGATGAATATTTTGTAATGTATCATTTTTTATTTATTTTAAAAAAATATTAAAGTATACATGTCAAACTGTTTATTGATTTACTTCTTTTTTACCAATAATTTTCAATGTCTACATAACACAGTACCACAGCATTAAAACAAAACAGGAGACATAAAAACTACAGTTACTAAAAATATAGCTAAGCGATGCGACACAACTAATAGTATGAATCATTTCACCAAGCAGTCCACACGCGTTACCCTGGTGCTATCCAAAAATCCTGGGGGAGAACACTGCGTGTATATGAAAGTCACATCTAAGTGTACGAAATTAAATGCATTTAATTTCAATTGTTTTTAGACTGTCCTTGTTCAGAGCAAGTGTATAAAAAATTATTAGCTGTTGTTGAACATACAATGACAGTTCATTCCACTTAAGTTTCATCCAAATGAGTCATTCAAGATAATGGAGAAGACTTTCGAAATGACGGTAACATGGACAATAAAAGTTGAATTCAAATGGTTTCTCGTACATACATGTGTATTTTTTTTTCCAACACTAGACGGTGAGACAAAAAAAATTGAGTTAGAGAATGGAAACTAAAAATTTAGCAATTTTTCCATTGATAAAGGGGCATAACTCTAGATTTAGAGTGACGCTACCAAAATTCAAACTTGATCTGTATTTTGTGGTAATAAGCATTGTGTAAAAGTTTCATAATATTTGGTTGAGACAAACTTAAGTTTAAGAACGGAAACTAAAAATTTTGCAATTTTTCCATTGATAAAGGGGCATAACTCTAGATTTAGATTGACGCTACCAAAATTCAAGCTTCGCCCAAAAACATTGGAACAACTGTTCAAATAATTTCATCACGAAATTGCTAAAAAAAATAAAATATTAAAAAAATAAATCCTAAACTCAAACCCCATTTTATAGGGGCATGCAACAGGAAACACATAATTTTGTTGTTGACCTTAGCAAACATCAATCTATTATGCACTTACATCTTTCATTGTGTGTTACATGTATAATGGATGGCTATAATCAGAGCCAAGCTCTCTTCATCAACACATTCAATAACTAGACGATAAAAGTTCAAGGTCACCCTTCACACAAGAAAACCTTGCATTTAGGACTCACCATCACCTTATTACACAGAGCTGGTGTTGTCATGGTTATTTCACATGTTGTAAGAGAATGGATTAATGGAAAATTTCATCATCTTATAGCACAACATTGAACTTTAAAAAACTAGTCTGAATAAACAGTTTTCAGGTTTATTGAATTCTCATGTTTAGAAGTTACTGAAAATGAACCTCAGCTTTTTTTTTAAAGTTTTGCTTGAGGTTATTTGTTAACCAACTTCAGATATTAAAATTAAGACAGTTTAGAAGCTGGCCTAAGATAATTTCATTGAATTGGGTTTATTCACTTCAAGTCTTGAGAGCACCTGGCTGTTTTCCATAAATGTGTTATCCATACAGAAGTTGGTTTCATAGTTTATATGAAAGGCAACACGTACATATACACAATTAAAAGGATGCATTAAACATTTAAACATTTTCCTTGTTAACAGTAAGTGTAATTTTTTATTTTACCTCTTATTATTGAACATACGACACTTCTAATACAAAGTAAATTTCATCTATATGAGTCGTTCAAGATGACAGAGGATGACTCTCGAAATGAAGGTAACATGCAAACATGGTCAATAAAGTTTACTTCTTAAATTCCAAAAGATTTCTGGTACATAGATGTATTTTTTGGTATTAAGATCACAACTTTGTGCAAATTAATATTGAACATCTATTCTTTTTCCGATGTAAAATTACACATGCTAAAACAAGACAGTAAGGTAAAAAAAATACTGACATACCAACGCTATTTTTCAGGGGAATGCAACAGGACACATATTTTTTTGTTGGCCTTGGCAAACATCTATCATTCAATTATGCACTTACAGCATTCATTGTGACATATGTTTGTTAATGAATGGCTATAATCAGAGCCAAGCTCTCTTCATCAACACAATCCATAATTAGACGATAAAGTTCAAGGTCACCCTTCATACAAGAAAACCTTGCATTTAGGACTCACCATCACGTTATTACACAGAGCTGGTGTTGTCATGGTTATTTTATATGTTGTAAGAGAATGGATTAATGGAAAATTTCATCATCTTATAGCAGAATTTAAGTTAAAATCTACATTGTAGACTACAAGGGTCACATTAAATTAAAATCTTATTAATCTAAATCAGATCCCTTATTCTTTCAATTTTTTTTTATTTTTTGTAAAATAAAAATTGTAAGGGA